CTGGAACCTTCCACTTAAGAAGCATTCCTAAATATATTTAGAATGTGTGTATGTATATGTATATATAACCAGAGTATACCTAAATTCATATAACATATAATATAGATGTTCTATATAAATAATATGTCATATATATTTAGAGTAATCTTAAATATATTCAGCAAAATCCCCACTGGGAGTTTCTGCACCAGCATGGAACTATACAGGGATGCACAGCATTTACTAATTTTTTAACATAAAATAAACCACTCAGCTTCATTATAGAAAGGAGGTTGAAGAGTACAATTACATAACAAATTCTCACCACATACCTCATGAATGTAATCACAGGACAGCAGCAGCTTGGGGAGCTTCTGATTTTCTTCCACATGCAACTTTTTGCACGCAGCCGAGGGTGCTGAATGCCCACCTCTTCCAGATGGGGAGTATCCAGGGGAATCCCCACACTAGCTCAGGTGAAAGTTAACTACTGCACACGTTTTTCATGTCACCATGCATGGTAGAGAAGCTCCAGTGTTCAGAGACAGCTGGGTATGTGCACAGGGCCATGTGAAGAGCACAGACACAGCCCTGTGCTCATGCCATGGCTTGTGGCAGCTGAGCAGCATCCCCAATGAGCTCCTGTTGCTTTCAGGATGTCTCACCCAAACATCTAATTGCAACATCAGCTTGCTTCCTTAGGTTAGCTCAGATCCTCTCCCCAAGCTCCTTCAGGAATGAAAGAGGCTCCTTGAGGCAAGGAGAGGTTGAATGCATCAGAGCAGAAAATGAACTTGAGGCATTCTGAGCTGCCCCTCTGACGATGCAATCCTGCCCTGCAGTAGTCCAGGAAGGCTCATTTCCCACATTCCACACAGATAACACTTCCACTCATCTATTTTTTGTTTTCTGTGGGTAACATGTAGCATGAGAAAGCTCTGTTCTCTGCTAGGCCTCTAGATACTGCTGTGACATTAACAACTTTTTCATAAAATAGATCTGAATCATGACACTTGAAGTCTTCACATTTTCTTTGACCCAAGAGGATTTAAAATGTAATGCTCTGCAGCTCAGAGAAGTCTGCCTCTTTTATCAGCCATCTTTCTGTGCCTGCAGGTGGAATGTCATCCATACCTGACCCAGGAGAAGCTGGTCAAGTACTGCAAATCCAAAGGGCTGGCTGTGACTGCATACAGCCCCCTGGGCTCTCCTAACCGCCCATGGTAAGAGAGCACTGCAGCCTTTCTGCACACAAAACACTGCAGTTGAACTAGAACGATTATTTATTATTATTATTGTTATTATTAGTGGTAAATGATACAGTTAAAATGAGAAGTTCTGTTGTCTTGATGCAGATGATGTCACACGATGTAGGGCTCCTACAGGGAAGCCATCACCTTTCTACGACCACCATCTCTTTTTTTAACAGGGCTAAGCCAGGGGAACCCACACTGATGGATGACCCCAAGATTAAAGACATTGCAGCTAGACATAATAAAAGCCCTGCCCAGGTAAGTTGCCAGAGCAAACCATTCCTCCTCCTCAGATGTCTTACAGGCCAGTCCTAACAGATGTTACTTTCTCTACAGATACGTTATAATGGGACTGAACTTGACTCTTCATTCTGCCCAAGTGTCTTAACAGCATTCATAAAAATTATCAGCTATTTTCAATGAGGTCTTGAGTGCCAAATTTTGGGTTGGACTGATCAGCAATCATGCTTACCTTAGGTGTTCACCTTCCTAAATTGCTATTCCTTCTTCCAGCTAAGTTATTTTTCAGAAGAGTCCTGTAACTTGGAGACATATTTGATTGCCTCCAATCTGCTTGTGTTCACAGAGAATTATTGAAAGCCGCTTGAATATTTTTTTTTCTCTATTACTTCGTTAGTCACACAAATTAGTGGTTGCCTGGGGTGTGCAGAACCTGCACTCCAAACAAAGCCACATGTTCACATGCAATCAAAGACAATCATATTTTAAGACAGGAGAGCAGGATGAAAAGATTGTATGCAACAGTTGGGGTTTTTGAGGGGTGGGAACTTTTAAATTCTGTAAACACATTTTTCCTTTGATGGACTTCCAAAAGTTTAACCTTCCTGAGTACTTACCTGTGAGCCCAAAATAATCTGTAGTGTTATTATGCTCATGGAGTCTGAGCACTCACGTAATACAAGCCAGAGCATCATAATTTTTTTTTTCCTTACAACAAAAACAAATCCTGCAAAAGCCACAATGTAGAAACAACATAGGCTTGAAAAAAATTAGGGTTTGCCAGTCTTCTGTCAAATACACGAGCGAATCCTGGCATATCAAACTCCTGTGTGCAAAGTGGTAATCTTCCCAAAAGTGAAAAATAAGTTGTAGAATAAAAGAAAAAAAAAATCCACAAAATGTGTTTGAATAGATTTCCTGGGACCTCAGCGTTCATGCTCCTCCTTGTTCTTTCCTAGGTCCTGATCCGCTTTCTGGTCCAAAGAGGCATCATTGTCATTCCCAAGTCTGACAAGCCACACCGTGTTGAGGAGAACATGAAGGTGAAGTTCCCTTGGGAAATGCTGCTGCCTGGTTTTGTGCAGGATGGGCACCCACACCCACAGCCCCTCTGTGTTTCCAAGCAGCACCTGAGGCACTGGAAGTGGGGTACAGAGATTTGAAAATCTGGGGAGAAGCATTTTGTGCCTGCTAGGAGAGAAATGGTTACACCGGGGCTGTCTGAGCCCTGCTGCTGCAGAAAGGGAGCCCCAGGTTTGGACTTGCCCTTGGGGAAAAGGTTAGTAAGTCCTTAGGGTGTAAAGGAACAAGCTGAGAACAAACACCAGACCTGTTAGAGTTTGTCTCACTGTGAGGCTGTGGCTCCCCTTGGCAGTGAAGTTCAGCTGGATGTTTGCTCATAAGGTGTGGCACCTTATACAATACCCCTGGTATTGCTTTCAATCCATGGTGGGAGGGTTTGGAGTTATTTTTCCTATGAACCCCTAGCAAGAACTCTTCAGATGATCAACTGTGAGGCAGCTATTTGCAGCTGATACCCAGTAGCCCTCTCTCGTAGCAGAAAATTTACCTCCAGTTCCAGTATTTGTGACACATCCTGAGCACTAATAATCTCTGTGAGCATTACAACACAAAGGGCAGTGTGCTGGGATTCAGCCACCCAGAAATTTAAGACCTTGCTCTGAACAGCACCTCAGAAACAAAACTGTCTTAATCACTTCAAGGGTTCTTACTTGCCTGAGAATGAAGAGGATTGCTTAACTGTGCTTGATGCATTCCTACCTCAAGTCCTAAGTGCATGAAGCACACTTAGGAAATAACTACTCACAAACCTAACTAAAAAGCGCCTTTTTTTTTTCCCCTCTTTCCCTGCTAGGTGTTTGACTTTGAACTGTCCGAAAAGGAGATGGATGTCATCCTCAGCTTTAACAGGAACTGGAGGGCAGTTCCAGTGATCCAGTACGTTCCTTATTATCCTTACTGTCCATTCGTCCTCTTTCTGTCTGTATTTTCACAAACCCCAACTTGAAAACACACATGACCCAAACCAAAACTTTCAACTTGAATGAGGCATCTCCTGGATCTTCAGGAGAGAGGTTCATTTGGAGTGTTCCCTCCAGCATATTGCTGTTCCAGGGGCTTTCTCCAGTGTTCAGCTCAATGACAGCTGCAGAACCTGAGTACCCTGGCAGTAGGGGAGGGGGACTGCAACAGGGAAATCCTGCTCAGGATACTTTCTGCACTGCTTGAATAACAAGAGTTTTCTCTTTCTCTTGAGTAACAAGGTCTTTCTCTTTTCAGAGCTGTCAACCACAAGGACTACCCATTCAAAGCAGAGTATTAAATGCAGGACCTCCATTTAACTCCTTCCAGATTAGATGTGCTCTGCAGCTTGATCTTAATTTCTTCTTCTGCACTTGATAATCATTATGAGCAGTTATTTTTTCCTGTTTTAAGGAGGAGACCACTAACTGATATAAGAATGCAGCAATAAGGGTGGGGTTTTGTAAAGGTGATTAGCAGAAATCTGGTTTTTATTAGTAGTAAAAAGACAATGTCTTTTCCTTTTTATCTGGTCTTTCTTAATTAGAGACATGCTTAAAAAAAAAAAAAAAAACAAACAGGGACTTAGATGGAGTATTTTATATGTTACTCCCAGTGTAGTCAGTCATACTGGCTCATGAGTCACTGTCAAAGAATGCTCTAATTACATTGCTTTTTATATATTTGTGATTTTCATAACGTGTTTCTAATGCTTTAACATTTTATATGAATAAAGTTTATTAACCACAAAAGTTGATCAGTGTCCTTAAATCTTTTTATATAGTTTTTCTAAAGTCTGGGGTTTTACAAATTTTAACACAGAATGCTTTAACATTTTATATGAATAAAGTTTATTAACCACAAAAGTTGATCAGTGTAGTCCTTAAATTGTTTTATATAGTGAGGTTTTACAAATTTTAATACAGATAGAAATAAGTTTCTATAATTTCTGTACAAGGACAGGACATACAGATCACTTTGTGGCTTATTCTTCAAAACAGGATTTAGCTCTAGCTAGGACCTAAAGAACAAAGCTGTAACTTCCTCTGAACACCTAGAAACTGAACTCCTGTGTGATTTGTGGGGAAAGTCGAAGGCAGCATCATGGCAGGGATAACTCACAGTAAAACCCAGCCAGCTGAACATAGGGGCTGCCTCCAACATCAGACTGGGAGTCTCAAACATAAACTTAGATTTTTGCAGCTCTGCTGGCAGCACCCAGAATATTACACTCAGACACGGGCTGGTTTTATCTAAGGAAAGCACGGGGAAAACTTCTTCAAAATCACCAAAGCCCCTGGGACAGCCTCACAGTTAATTGCTCTAAAATATTTTCAGACAGATTTTTCTAGGCCAAAGCCAAGCTGGTTTGTGGCATCAGGAGGGCCATCCTGAGGGGTTCTTCACTTTGTCTCACAGGGACTTAGCACAGCTCTTATCTCTCTTACAACAACTGGTCCATTCCTGCTCATTAACAAACGGGGCTGCTGCTGGAAATATTCCATTTATTGCAGATGCAGTTCCAGAATACATTGTTTGAACAAACTGTTTTTATTGCAGCTATCAGATGTACTTGAAAGACTCAGAGGAGCGCTTACAAAACCCCCAAACAAAAACCACGACAACCCACAGACAATGTCAGGCACAGCTTCAGCCCCTGCAGACAACTTTGAGCATCTCTGCATGTAAACAAGATGTCTCAGCCAAGCAGGGGAGCCCAGCTTTGGGCTGGAATAGAACCTTTAGGAAGAAGCCAGATGCTGTAAGACATGGAAGTGGTAATAAGGGAGGTCCTGGGCGTTCTGGTGCTCAACAAAGCTGTTAACAACGTGCTCGGGGCTGCTTGAGTTGCTCAGTTTATGCCACCCATACACTGTAGGATGTAAATGCCAAACTGCAGGGCACGTAAATCCAAACCAAGCTGACGTCCCAAAGCCATGTGTTTACTATATACAAATGAAAACGTCTGTAAATAAGATATTCAGGGGAGAGAGGTAAAAAGAAGCATCGCAAAGACAGATGTTTACTTCATTTTTGGTGGACCTGGTGTAGGGCACTGATGGATGGCAAGATTTAGTGTGCAGTCATTTGAAACAAGCTCCAACTCTGTTTACATTTTTTTCTTTTTAATTATGGTAGTTTTATATAAATTAAACTACAATGTTTTATACAAGTGACCTATTTTTGACCCTCTATACCCTTACCTTTTCCTCTTTTAAAAACTATACTTTCTTTTTAATTACCCATTACTGGGCAACTGACATTTAAATTTTTTTTATACTTATCTCACCATACCTTTAATGACAATTATGAAATCTTACTATAGAAAAGTGTGTGATTTTGTCTTTATTTTTTTAAGCTGTGATATTGGCTAATTATGTATGTTTATTGCTAAATATAATACTCTAGCACATATTAAAGCATTCTACCATTAGTAGTGCCTTTAGGCTAACCTTTGTAAAGCTATGTGTGTATATATATAGATTGCATTCAATTACTAGTCACTAACAACAAAAAGAAATATCAGTACCGCTGTCAGCTAACATAATCATCCAAATTTAGGTATTAACTTAAACTAGAATGGAAAAATTGATACCTAAAAAAAAGTATAAAACAAAAAAAAAATTAAAACACGTTATTGATGCAGTATTTCTCATGACATGGGCAACTTACAGAAAATATTACATTGTCAACTAAAGATATTTCTTCCATGCCTTAGTCTAAAGTGCAGAAAGAAAAAGACTTCTGTATTACAAAAGTAACCATTGGTTTTATAGGTTTACTGCACACCTTTCCCAAGCAACTTCACTTTACATGTGTTTTGGGTTGACCTCTAATGCCAGCTGAAATCACTGTTCAGATACATATTTATGACTTTCAGTAGGAGAGTCTATATATTTCACAGCATGGGTTTCTTTCGGAATAAAGGCTCTTGTGCAAAGGCAGTACTATTCTGATGAATGTCTAGACTGATTATTAAATACAGTGCTAATATACATGGTTTTAACTGGGATAATGCAAAAAAAAAAAGACATTTTGGTAAATAAACATAAATATAAAAAGAACAATTTAGCACTTTTTCCTTATTTTTTTTTCCCCCAAACTGATTGGTCCAGCGTCTTTAGTGGCCTTCTACGGTTCTTTCTCAAATTGTCTCAAACCTGCTGAGAAAGAGACAGATTAAATATGGCTTGAAGCAGCCCAAACACATCTCTAGAACAGAAAAGGCACAGCCCTCTAGGTCAACACGTAAGAAGGCAGCACACGAGCTGGGTGCTGCTCTACTTCTACTGGGGGTGCTCTGAGGGGGTCCCCAGGAGGACAAAAATCAGGATTTCATTCCCTGAGGAGAGGCTCAGCAGTGTCCAAACCCCTCTGCTGGGACTGCTGCTGTGGGTGGGGAGCACCTTCCGTGGGAGCATGGTGCACTAACCCTGAGCCAGCCCAAAAACCCCTCTCCTGACACTTGGGTTTGAAAAAGGACAAGAGGAGCAAAACAATTCTGCTTTGCACAGCTCTCGACCAACAAGGAAAGTTCACAGGCAAAACATACACCTGGATTTACAGAATGTGTGGGCACACATTCAAGTGTAGAAAACCAAGAATTTTTCTCTATTTGACCATTTCACTCTTAGCAAAGAATTGGTGATGTTGAAAAGCATCCTTAAAGCTATTAAACTGATCAATGATCTTCCATTCTTCCCCACTGGTTCTTAGCCAAACAATTAGTTTAATTGGCTTTATTTGGAGTGCTTTAGGTTAAAATAAAAATAAAAAGCTAAGAGGGCTATTTTGCTGATTTTTTTTCTGTAAAATTAGGTCATGTTTCACCAACCAGTGGTTTCAAAATGACAATAGCAAAACTATTTTTGCCTTGAAAAGACACCAGTGCACAGCTCCAGCAAAAGCAGTTTCTCAGCCATTCATGGTTCAATGATATTTTAATGGAGTTTTTGAAAGGCAAAGGCAAGAAGGGGTTTCTGCATCAACGTGAACAGCTGCTGAATTTTAATACACAGGTACACCTACGCAAAAATGTGGCAATGTTTCTGTATAATTATAGGTATTACAATGTTTGCATTGTATTATATGTACATCATCAAATGTTGTATGTATTATTTTATTAAATATGCATATAATCGTGTATGTTACCATTATATGCATAGCATGATTATATTATAAATATGTAATAATATGTATTAAATTATAGAAAAAGGTGCAATATATGATTATGGCATTACTTACCATTAGTCTCTGATTTTTTTCCTGTAGCTGATACCTGTTTGAAAAAGCAACAACACATAATTAAAATCCCATATAGGAGAAAATTGCTATTTATAACAGGGAAAAAAAAATATCAACAGATGTCCACACATAACACAGCTCTGACAAACAGGAAAATAAAAGTGGTACACTACTTTCTGAACCTCATTGTGCTTTCTTTTATAGATAAAAAGGTGGGTTAGTAACAGAATATTATCCTCTAAACTCTGCCCAGAAGTGTTCTTACCTTAGAAGCAGCAGCTGGCTTCTCCACTGACTGCTTCTCCCAGAGATTACGTTTGCCAGATACATCTCCTGGTCTTAAATCCTGCATTTTTAATGTCAGAGAACAGAAACCAACATGAGTTCAGGTTTATTTTCACTTGTTAAAGAAAAAGTTAGAAAGCAGCTTCCTCACAAGAGAAGCTGAGGAACATCCACCAGCAGTAAATATTAAATTTTCTATCAGTTATAAAAAATTATATTTCACAAAATAACTCGACACATATCCATGTTTTAAGACAAAAGCCAATCATGTTGCATCAATTTCATATGGACAGACTGGTCTTAACTCAGTATGTTCAACTTAGGAAGTGTAGTGAAAAGTTACTGCACCCTTGGATTTTTACAAAAAAACCAAATCCAATTTTTTGCGGAAAAAATTCCACATTTTTTAGGGAAAGTATTTCTGCTAGGGAGGAATTCAAAAGTAGCTTTTCTTGGTTATTTTAGATCAAAATAAAAATATTTTATTTAAAAGAATATGTAAAAAACAGAGTTGGAGTTTTCATACAACAGAAGAACAGATCCTGCTCTACATCCTTAAATACAGATTTCAGCACTTATCACTGTACTCCTTCATACCATTTAAATTTCCATTGCATCCTTTGCAGACTTAGGATATGTCAATCACCAACTTGATAAAAAAAAAATCCAAAACAAAAACCCCCCACCTACCCAAAAAAACCAACCAAAACAAACCAGATGAGGTAAAGTGATTAAAGAAAAGTAGAAATCTCTGAAAATGAATGTATTATTGAGACTTTAATCAAAACTCCATAAAAAATGTCAATTAGCTTCTTGGGGAAAAGGAGGGCTGCAAGTGAAAATGGCATCTGCTGGGCAGCTGGATTGATATCCACCTCTGTGCTTGGCAAACAAGAGACTCAAACAATTTTGGACATAAGTACTCTCCTTTTCAGGAAGAATTCAAGTCCTGCATGGCTTCCAGGATTTTGTACTGGCCATCTGTAGGGAGGTAAGTTTTCTGCAAGTGAGAATTTCTACCTGTGAAATTCATTTCCATAATCCTGAAATTACTTGGGATCTGTGACTTCAGTTCACTGTAAAACTGAAATCTTTGCTGTGCCCTGAATTCAATATTCTTCCAAAACCCACAAAAATTTTGATGGTCACAAAAACTTTGAACATTTCTTTACTTTGGTGGAATGTGATGGGGGTGAGAAGTTATTTGCTTAAATAAGAAATTCTAGGCTTCCCTTTGATTTATCATGACAGAAATAAAATCACACATTATAGACGTATATAAGACTTCATAGTCAATTATAAACATGTTTACCTGACCAACTTAGCAAAGAGACCCCCAAAGAAGAAGAATAGGAGGAGGGCACGTTCCTTCAAGCAGAGACATTGAAAGAAGAAAGAATCTATTGAGAAAGAGGGAAATTAAGACATAGATAGAAACAGCTGGCTGAGGGAAAAACAAGAGATTAGTTTTACATTGTCTAAAAGATGCAACTTAAAAGAAAAGAGAGAAAAATCTGGTGGCAGATTCTGTAGTGGACAGTGCTGCAAATTTCAAACTCCTCTTTAGGACAAACAGGAGTGTGAAATGAGAAAGTGTTTTTCACTTTTTATAAAAGGCAGGTGAACTGGCAGAAAAACACTGCACAAGGATACAGGAAGAAACCAGTTCTTTACCAAATTCTGAAGTTGAATCATTAACATCACAAACAATTTTCCAATGTGGATATTTATGTCCCTCATCCTTTCCCTTCCCCACCCCACAGTTACCTCTTCCTGCTGCTTCCCACATTCCCAGTTTATTACCTCAACAGCATTTTCTGCTCTGATCCTTGCTGAACTAATGGGCAGACTAAAGGCCCTTCATTAGGAGTTACATTTAGGCTCATAAAGACCTAAATTATATCAGTAGTGTTTTAAAACATACTTGGAAGATTTTTACAGGGCAGGAGCCAAACTCCAAGTGTCTGTAAGTGTGCAGTCTGGGCTCTGTGGCTGGTCATTTCTAAATTAATGGTAAGCCTTTCACAGGTGGTAAATTAAAGCCATCCTCTGCCAGAGAAGTGCTCCTCTGAGCTTTAAGGTGAGGACTGCCCTGTTTCCTCTCCCCATTTTCTGACCACAAGGATTCAGCAGCCAGGGGGCTGTGAGCTGCCAAGAGGACACAAGGCAGAGTTCCTCCAAAGGCTGGTGGAAGAAGCACCCCCTGCCCCAGGAGAGAGCCCACCTACTGAAGAGATAGTTGTTCCAAGTTTACTTACAGAAGGTTTTGGAGCAGGGGATTTGTTGCCCTCGGGGGTCTTGGTCAACCACTCGTTGATACGACTGGAGACACCAACCTTCAGTCCAGCAGTTTCCTGCAAAATGATAAAATGCAACCAGAAGAGTTTCAGAATGGCTTTTGCTCTGTTTGCCACGGCTTAGATTTAAAAGCAAAGCCAAGCCTGGGTTTAACAGAGAGGTCCTCACTGAGCCTATAGCTTGCTCAGAGACATCCTGTGTGCCCTGAAGGTTTTGTCCCTGTGAATTACACAGTGCTGCTGCCCTCTAGTTTTCGAAAATTATATACATGGACTGACAAAAACATTGCCACTTTACTGCCACCCCAGCAATAAATGTCAGACATAATTATGCTGCTTCTACCACAAGCCCAAACTCCAAAAATCTTCAGCTTAATAGAAGAGACATCAGTTTGAATCTGCTTTTTTTTCTCTTGTTAAACTAATTTTTTTTCAAAAGAGGTACACAATAGAGAAGTGGCCTAAAATTTAAAACAGTAAATCTTTAAAAGGCTAGAACAAATTAGTAAAATTTAATTGCTATCTGTAACAACCCACTTCAATACATGGCTCATCTTTTTGCCTATGATAAATGCCCAGCAACTCGCATCAATTTATAGAAAGAAAATGTTGCCTTAAGGATTTACACAGAAAATATAAAGGTCTCACAAATACTTCTATGAAATATCTAAAAAATATCATCACTATCCTGCCTATTCAAAGCTCTTCTGCTCTCCAAAAGAATTTTGCCCTACTCAAAGAATTTCTTTGTACTCTGCTTGAATGACCCAGATGTATTTTTCTAAGATATCTGATGTGGCTCTGGAATGTCTCATAACTGAGCTCAGTAGGTCACTAAATTCTTCCATTATACTCAATATTGCAGCCACACCATCTTGTGGCTTTCTGAGGCCTTCAGGATCCTTTGGGATATTCTTCACCAGTGATGCCAACAGGAACAGGCAGGCTTACTCCCAGGAACACGAATGCAAGGCCAGGTCCTGAGCACAATTCTTTATAATCACTAGGATAATTAAACACATACCTTATTTGGTGTTCCTGTCCCAGAAGGTGATGAGAAAACATTCCCTTTCTCCCACATGCTCTTGATATTGCGGACGCCCTCGGCTGGAACGTGAAGGTCGGAAGCTTTAGGTCTTGAAGCCTTCGTGCCCTGGGGAAAAATTTGGGACCAGTTGGTGTTTGGCACTGAGAGCTGGATTTGCAGGGTGGTTTGACTCTGGGGAATGCAGCATTCCTGTGTGGCTCTAGCAATGACCATGCAAAGATGAGAAGGAGCACCCAGCTCAAGAGGTGCCACTGAGACTCTCTCCCCTTCTCCATTTGCAGTTTCACCCTTGGTACAACCGGCTGTAAAACTGGCACTCCCTTATTTTTGTATTGATTACCTTTCTAAAACCCATGGAAAGCCTTAGCTCTGCACACAATTGCTCCAAGAGTTTAAAATCTTAGCTTATGCCTGGCTCCTGGAAGCCTGATCTAGGGGAGTCCCTTTGCAGAGGCAGGGCTATTCTGTCCTTCAGCATCAGACTGCTCCATCTGCCCCAGACAACTGAACCTCAGCATTCCAGGGGTAAATCTCAGCAATTGCATTATGCTTGAAACAAAGTGTTCTTTCGAAGAGTGGAGAATTGAGTGGGAGTTTTTGGGTGATTTTTTGGGCCAAATGTGTCTTTTACATGGTTACCAAAACCACTGGCCAAATTCGTCCTCTTTCTTCTTTTCAAAATTCTTGCACATTTTACATATCATAGATTGGATAAGAATAAGAACCTGTATGAGTGATGCTTTGCCTCTCTAATTGCAAAGCAAGGCAGATTTGGCAACTTGTGGACAAATCAGAAACTCAGCAAAGGAAATATTTCAAGTCAGATGGCAGCTGGATACAGTGGTATCAATTTCCTATTTTACCTTGGACTAATGGACAGAAAAAGCCCTCAGTTCTGGCTCTTAGGCACAGCTGTCAAAATCACCTGGGGTCAAGTTCTGCATTTTAAAGTGATTTTGATTTCCCTTTTGTCACTGCTTCACTAGCTCTCTGCAGAGTGTGTCTTTGCCAAGGAATTTCACTGTGGGGTGGCAGCCAGCAGGACAAAGCCAGCTCCTTGTTCTCCTAAATAAGCTGCTAGGCCAGCTCTGCTCAGGATGACCATCAGCTCTGTGCTGACCGGTCTCTAATCAGCCAAGCAGAGGATGTGACTGTCACTGAAGGTGCTTTGAACCCTCCAAAGCCACTGCCAGCTCACAAAACGGTAAATTGCAGCATGAAAGGGAAGACCCAAATCTGAGGTTTTGTTTAGATGCATCTCTAGATGTTGGCTACAGATGTGCCTCAAGCATTTTGTTCTTGAAGTCTCATTAAAGAAGAGTTTGTGATCAAAAAACCCTGCAATCCTCGAACAGCAAAACAAAGGCTGATTAAAGGCCCCAAAGCCATTAGTAACTAGATCCATTTACTGGAATTAACTTACCCCAATTGCACTAGTGTATTGCTCAAGTTTACTGTCAATCTTTGAGACAACTGCTGTTGTCTGGGTGGGCTTCATTCCACTGTAGGAAGTAGGGAAAAAAAAAAAAAAGCAAAAATTATTATTCCCTCCACTTAAACACTGCTGTTTGAACTGAACTTACTGTTTCTTTGCTTTACCTCTTTTGAGCAGATTTGTTCAAAAATTCTGTCCGCTCCTCTATCTAGAAAAGAGAGGAACAAAAGCTTTAAACTTTTTAATTTAAAGTTAATCAAGAGTCAGCCTGTGCACAGCCAGCCTGAAATGTCATTTTAAATGTCAAAAAAATCAATCTGAAAAAGATGCATTCCAACAGAAATTTCACAGACACACACAAGGGTTTTATAGACAGGAGCCCGTTATGCTACAGATTCATAAAAGTGGATATATTTTCTGCACGAATGTTTGCATCCTACACATTTCTTCAGTGCCTCATACGTAACAAGAGAATAAAAGAACAACACAGAAAGAAGAAAAGGGGAGAAGTCTAACTCAAGGAAGGGATTGATAGGCACAAAAACTTATGTCATCTTCACATCTCCCACACAAGAGCAAGTATGTGTCTCTTGAGAGAGACAGCAGATTTAATAAAGTTTTTCTGAGCTGAGAGATCAGACTAGGCCAGGTTTGGAGCTCAGCCACAAAGCCTCCCTTACACATGTCTTTGGAGGACATGATCAATTTAAATTTGAGCTCCAAAAACCCCACCAGTGTAAACCCTGCTCATGTTCAGGCAGGGTCACTGCTGAATCAGTATCTACCTGTTATTATACGAGCTGTATGTGACATTGCATCATTATTTTCTACTCTGTAAATAGGAAAATATTGTGACATCTCCATGGAGGAAGACTCATGAAATTCTCATATGGATTCTGTCAAATCTCTCAATACTTTGAAAACAAAAAACTCCATCCCTGAATAAAGTTTTAAAACATTTCCCTTTTGGGGGTCTGGAGATGGGGAGTGTGTGCACCTATTTGTATTCAGGGTCAAGAAATATTTTCATCAAACTAAATACTTTCATCAAACTTGCATCTAAAATGCAAGTCTTATCAACATTGCATTGTTCCACTTCTCATGCCAGGCTCCACGGTTTCACTTAGAAGTAAAATACATGCAAGAAGCTCCAGGGGATTGAAATTATTATTAATCAGCCTGGCTGGATTCCTGGGGATTCCCCAGTCTCTGCAGGGGCTCTCCATTTTCAATTTAGTTTAACCGTGACTGCTCTGGCATTCATGCCTTTAAAACAAGGCAACGACAGCCATTCCTTTAAATGGTTCTCTTCAGTGCCTTCAGCATCCAAGGCTTTCCCAGGACACCAAGTCCCACAGCAATCCCATCAAAGGGCATGCACAGTTTATTTCTCAAGCCCTTGCAAGCAGGCAGTTCACTCGAGTGCAGAATTTGCCAAAGGAGCTCACTGGAGGAGCTCCAGCTACCACCCAGCCAGCTCAAAGGCACCTCTGAAGCTCTAAAACATACATACAATTTACAGAGTCATTTCCATCGCCAGTTTCAGCTGCCAAAACACGAGCTAAAAGCAGTCCTGAGTGCAAAGATGGGCTTTGCCAGGACAAATCCCCTGTTTCAGTGGAAGGATGTCACAAGGTGGCAGCAAAAGACCGGCAGGAGCAGGAGCCCTGCACACCCACAGGGAAAGGGTACAGCTCTTCCCAGAGGGGGTTCAGCTGGCAATGCCACAAAACAAGCAGTAAATGGTTCAAAAGTGACCAAACAGACCAGGGATGGCCACTTGAAACACATCACCTCACTTCTGCTATGGTACAGTACAAGTTTCCCCCAGTGCTGATTTCTGGGTCATAACCAGCAATGCAGCAAAATGATGAGTTATTCCAGCAAGAGTCTCCAGTTTATCCCCAGATAAACATCAGTGAAACCCTGGTGGGCAGCAAGGACAAACCGTATGGACTCTCTCAAAGAACCAGGACCAAAGGCAACCGCCTAATAATTAATTTACAGGATCTTCACACTGTTTTATGTGCAGGCAGGAGGGATGCTTCTGCAAAGCAGGAAAAACAGGCTCGAGTGGGCACTGGTGGAAGAGGTGGGAAGGAAGAGGAACATTTTTCTTGTGGCTATAGTAAAAAGGCAAAAGTGGGGTTGTTCTTTACCCACTGGTAACAGATTCTCACAGCACCAGGTGTGGAATCAGGAAAAAGTCAGGGGCTGTTCAGAAGAGGAAAATGGAAAAGCAAAACCAGAAAATAAACAGGAAAGAGTTAGGAAGAAACCCACAGCGCTGAGCAAGGCCCTCTGGCTAGGGAAGAGGGTGCATGGCATGAAGGGATAAAATATTTCTGCACATTTATGTGAGGATTTATTCTAGAATAAATCCTCAAAAGATAGCAGAAGCAGACATTGAATACACCCAGAGCAAACAAACCTGTACACACGTGTATTCAACATAGAAGTCAAACACATTTAGACTGCACAGCAACAGCTAAAGGTCATTTACCCACTGCACATCACACAAACTCCATGCAAAGAATTTAAAACGTACGGCACATACAGTGAACAGTATGACAAAATAGATCTGTAAAAGAAACAGGCAAAGCAAGGTGATTAACATAAAATTCAAGATGTTTTCTCAGTTTTCAGGAAAGAAGAGTAATCTTTTTACTGCATTCATCTTACCAGGATCTTGTTAAATAGCTTGGACTATATTTTGTGACTATGGAGTACTTTCAGAACACACACATACTCAAAAAAGTGAACCTGCCAGCCTCTAATTAAATTATGACCAGAAAAAATGAGTTAACACACAATATTAGACCATGACTTGGGAAACAAAAACTATTGGATATTCCCAGTAAAATCTGTTTCATATAAAGGTATTACATTGATTCATAGGAGTTTTAAACTGTGTATTGGATATTATGCAACAGAAACTTGTCAACGGACCTATCTTCAAAACAAATATGTCAAGGAGGAAGTGGAATAAAAAACAAACACAGAAAACCCTGTATTTTTATTTTGCCTCATATCCAACATGTGGAAGGACCTAGTGGAAATCCACTGGAGCAGTAGTTCCTCGGAGAGGCTTCTCCTCATCCTCCCTGAGTGGCTCACACAGTCTCTTGCTTCATTAAGCACAATTATGCTTTTTCCTGCTGTCAGCAGCACCTGAGCAGAGGGTGCCAATTTAGCTCAGTTTACCTACCAGGCTCCAGTGCTGCCATCACCATCAAAGATGGGGGAGAACAAATGTCACATATCCTGTTCTTAACCTTCTGTTTTCCCTCTGCCTCAAGAATAGCTCATCTAGGGAGAACTGATTGTGTGGAGTCTAATTCTTTCCAGTCACTGCCCCAGCTGTCAGGTACTGAGAGCAATAATGAGATAGGACAAGACAGGTCTTTAAAGAAAAATACGTTTCTGGAAAGTCCTGTCTTCTGGGTTAGCTGTCAGCCTTGCAGAGAGTGCTGCCTGCCACATCAGCCCCTGTTTTCCAGGAGACATTTTCTCCAAAGACAGGGATATTCCAGCCTCCAGCCATTGCTCCCTTCCCTCAACACCTAACTCCTTTTACATTTCTCTAGTGGTGCTGTTCATCCCCAAGAGGAGACTTAGTACTGTTCTCTCCTGATTAACCCAGAGAATAGAACACAAGGACTCAGTAACCTTCCTTTGCAAAGAAAATATGAGGAATGAACTTGTCTGAAAAGCAAAATGATCAAAGATTTTCCAGGAAATGTCATTCTTTGAATGCATCATGTTTTGCATTAACTAAATTAGGGAAAGGACAGATGAGAGAGCAGATGGGAGAGCAGCAGAGCTTGTTCCAGGCTTTGTCCTTATTTTACAAAAATAGCAATATACAGGACAGAGGTTGAACAGAAGTTTAGTACCCCTGCAGCCCACAGGGTGTCCACCCAACCCTCAGAAATCCAAGCTGCTTCTGTCCCTGAGCTAGGGATGAACTTGGCCTGCATTTACTTGGCATGTTTTCTTTTCACTGTCCCCTCAGAAGGAACCAACCCTCGAGCTGTCACTGCGAGGACTCCACACTGAGGTAGCTCTGCTGAAGTGTTGTCTTAGGTTTGAGGGAAACACTGTATTTACACTTTATTTAAAACAACAGGAGCTGTCAACACTGTGATTTTTTTAGAGGCCAGACTAGACAACCACGGCAGGTTTTTCTAAATATAAGCAGATCTGTATCTTTTGTCCATGCTCATGTATGCACATTTACATTTGGGCATCCATGAGCTGTGTCATACGTGAAGAGGAGCTGCACAACTTTGTCTCTCAGTTCTGAGTCTGCAAGCCAAGCTAGTCCATGGCTTCCTGATGGACAGATGCAGCATCCATGGGACAGCAATATGCCTCACTGCTGCTCAGTTAAGCTCCCTTCTTTCCTTTGCTCTTGCAGTTCCCTTGGCAAACAGCACACCCTACTTTCCTCATACTAGCCACTTCTATGAACTTCTTCTTCTTCCCAAAAGCTTATCACATCAGGAAGGACAGGGAAGGACTAAAAAAGGTGCTTTGCCAGATTGCAACCCAGGAGAAGTCAGAATGTGCACATGTATCATATGTTATTTTTACACTGAGCCTCCCTTTTTTCACTATTAATTCCAACCACCCACCCACAACTGTGCATTTGGGATTCTCACATGACTCATGGCAGATCTGAGATGAGACATCCATCACGGGAGAAAACCTGTGCCAGATGCTTTACAAATCAAAAGATAACTTGTGCAGTGCAGAGCAGACAGCCAGAAATCTGCATGCCAACCAGCTGAGACCAGCCTGGGAAGTCAGTCCAAATCAAAGGTAACAAAACAGACTCTCTTCCAATAACTGGATTTTGACATCAAGTTTCACATCAAGGTAATAAACTGAGAGTAATAAACTCTCCCCTCAACTCTTGACCACAGAAAGCCAAGAAACAGTTTGGGGTGTGAACTTCTACAACATTACACATCTACACTGGCCACCCAGAGACACTGGGCTGGAATCTCTAGAGTATCACCAATTTCTCAGAGAGAGAAACAGAGAAAGAGGAAAAAATGTGCAGAGCTCCATATATCAGGGTTTGTAGCAAACAACTTCTACCTAACAAGACACAAAACCCAGCATAAAAAAAAAATTGTACCTTGGATCCTAACATTTTAAAAATGTCAGCTTTCCTCTGAAAATACACTTAGAATAGTGTAGCATCAGTACAAAAGGTATCTGAAAGCTTTCAGCCTCCTGCCAAGTCCAGTGTTTTTTCACACTTTCCCCAAAACTAGGATCTGTATCCTTTTTACTTTTTGTTTTCAAGCACAATTTCCTCCATTTTGAGCCTTCTGTGAATTACAGCTCCAAATGTATGTCATAAAAGGCATCTCAATAAACAGAAGAAAAGGAAGCCCTCCCAGGAGGGCTGGGAAGAAGCTGTACATTTATAGTGTCTGTTATAGACATCATCTTTAGCAACCAAAATGGCAAGACCAGGTTTCACTAATGGAGTAAGTCATGAAGTTTTGCAGTCTTTGTTTACAACTGTGTGCGTTCTCTCCCAGTATTTCTGTTTCAAATGTTCAAAAACATTTGGACTCAGTATTTGCTAGAACTGGACCCAAAACAGACCCAAATCTCCAGATTGGATCAAAGCGTAGCTAAAAAGCTAATTTTGTCCAAATGCAATTTTTCACTCACCAGTTAAAGTTTTAATCTCATAGAGATCCAATGCATGGTTTAATGAGCTCCTACCTGGTTCTTTTCTCTCCTATTTCCCACTAAGAGCCTTTTTGACAAATGTTTTGGATTTTTAAATGATTAATGACACAAAATGAAAAAAGGAAAAGATCTTTGAAAACATTTATAGATCTGCAGTTTGAGCTTGAGCTGAGAAAGCAACTGGACTGAATTCTCAAACAACACTCCCAATAATTTCAGTGGGGCCAGGATTCCTCTTCCATGCTGAAAGACAATTTAATTGATTTATCACACTTCTAATATAAAATAGGCCACAGAAGACCATTTAGAAATCCTGCAGCAATACAAGGGTGAGGTTTGTAATTTTTGTTATGTAAGAATATGAAATCCAGCCCAGTACTTCTAGATGTTATTTTTAGGGGGATTAGACATAAGCTAGAATTCCCACACAGGTCAGTCACAATTAATGATGATTAGGCTGAATATGCTTAAGGACAAAGTAATCTGGCAAGCAAGAAAATAACTGTGGATGTGGAAGGAGTGAGAAAACATTTGTGACTTAATGCTCTTAGGAGATCTTTTCCAACCTAAATGATTCTGTGATTCTACTCCAGTTCACAAAGCATTCCTATAATAAATTTAAAACAACGCATTATTACTGCTCTAAGTTTCAAAAATAATTTTCTCTTGGAGGTGAGGATCCTTTTTGGAGATTCTTCCTCAAGAAGAGACAACTGCCAGTCTATTTCTATTTCTAGGATGGAACTCTAATTTTCAGTCATCCCAAGGAATGAAGTCTTTCAGCTAGAGGTTTCAGGCTAAGTCTATCAAAGCACTTTCCTGGGTTTGATTACAAGTATTTCAACATTGTTTCGATGTTGGACTGTTGGTTTGGACTACAAACCCCACTACTTTTTATGTGCTGTATAGATGCTAGTGGGGAGGTTACCTTGAGAGATGAACCTTTAGGACTGAAACATTTAAATGGCTTCTTGTCTTCAGACACACCATCTTCTGGCATCTTTTGGCGTTTCTCAGCAGCTTCAGCCCTTCTTCTTTCGATTTCTTCCTTCATCCTCCTCTTTTCCTCCTTGAAAAATATCAATGTTTATTCGTTCTTTCAGAATCTACATCACCAACACAGGGCTGTGCAGCCCTGTAAACATTTACAGATTTTCTGAGAACAGTTTTTTATGCCAGTTGAAATAGTTCAGTGATCTGCCTGAAATGTATAAAGGTGTTAATGCCAATCCATAACAGAGTTAAGGATGCCAGGGAAACAATTAATATGTGCTGCTCTAGTGTCTCCTCAGAGTAAAGCCATCAAATTTATTGTCCTAGGGTTCCACTTAAACAGAGAAAAAAGGCTCAAGCTCAGTTTCTCTGTATTCTCATGTATCACATTGGTATTGTTCTGTCCCTCTACTCTGACACTTATTGTGCCAAGGTTAATATTTAACATGGAAGAATCAATAGGTGGCCAAGAAACCCAAGATTAAACGCTTGCAGATCTCTCTCCAGAGGTGAGTTTTGCTTCACGAGCTACAAGTCAAACCAGAAGCCCTCAAAGCAGCACCAGTGTGAGCACTGGTCACTGGGGCCTGACCAGCAAGGTATGGTGCAATCTTGGCATCTGCTGAGTTCTGCTGCAAGGAGCTCAGTACATTAAAGGAATTGGCCTTCAGCTGCCAGATACTATCAGTATTATTCATTTACCATTTGTTTTCCAAACAACTAGGATTCCTAAATGATGCACCAGAGACTTGGAAATCCTATTTGCAGAGTCCCTTGGCAGAGGAAGTACAAGAAAACAGATGTGTTGGATACTCAATATTTAAATAGACAAGAATATCTCCCTAATGAGATCTAGCCCGTTGTAACTATATATAACATTAGCATTCCAGCCCATCTGCAGCAGATAAATTTTGACATGCACTTTGTAATTCAATCTGTATAATGTAAAAAAAAAAAAAAAATTCTGTGGCTATAGCACTGCCCCAAGATTCTGAATCCACAAGAAGATAAGAAATTTGCAACTATCACAGAGGAAATCCTGACTTGTGAAAACAGATTTTAGAGCCCTGTCTGTCCTAAGGCTAGAATTAGAACATTTTCTCATACCCTGGATGATGCAGTGTGTTTTTACTCCTAATGGTATGTTCTATTATTGCCCAAGTTAATGGTTTGGTCCAAATTATACTCCCCCACCCCACTTTCAACCTACCCTGAGTTCCTCTTCAATCCTACCTTGTTCCTACCCCCCTGGTTGCAATCCCCCTTAGTAAGACCTCCCATTATTCCATGTGACCCAACCCCCTCCTCCATGTCCATGTGGGGTCCATGTGGCTCTTCCCTCATTGGAAGATGCTTTTGGGAACCCTGCCCTTTACCCCTCCCCAGAATATCTCAGATTAGCTGCTGATTTATCCCCCCCACCTTGAACCACCCTCGTTTGAAAACCCCTACACATCTCTGTTCTGTGTCTTTGGTCCCTGACCCTTCCATAGAATGAATCCTTTTGCAAACCATACTAAAATCCTCTCCCTTGTCCTTGCTCCTGCTCTTGAGGATTATCAACCTGTGCTGCAGAGATAAAGCCCTACAGCTGTATCCCAGACTGTGCTGCTTTCTGGGATCAGCCCACTCTTGGCATGGAGCTGGAGGCTGGCTGGGGAAAAATCCAGCACTGCATCACCTGGATGCTGTTTTACCTGAGGTCTTCACTAGACAAAGAGCTGTTGACTAATGCGAGGAGAGTGGAAGTAAAACAGTAAAAATGGAATAAACCCAAGTGCAACACCCCATTCTTCACACTCACCTCCTCTCTGATTTTTCTCTCAGCCTCCTCCTGCTTCTTCTTCTGCTCCTCTTCCTCCAGGATTTTCCGGCGCTCCTCCCGCCTTTTCTTCAGCTCGTCCAGCTCCGCCGCCGCCTCCTGCTGCTTCTCCTTCAGCTTCTCCAGCTCCTCGCTCTCGTTCTCGCCCCGGCGGCGCCGCTGATCCTCCAACCTCTTCAGCGCCTCGGCCGCCGGCTTCGCCTCCTCCGCGGCCGCCTTGACACCCGAGCGCCTGGGGAGGCAAAGAAAGGGAAAATGGTGCCATGGGGCTTTCCAGAGCCCCATGGCACCATTTTTCCTTTTTTTCCAGAGCCACCTGCTGCCTCGTGCTCAGCAGCACAGCAAGGTGCTGCCTTCTTTTTGTTCCTTGCAAGCTATGGCTGGCCCAAAATGTTTCCATCGGGAAAACGGAGAAACGGGAAAAAACGCATAGAGCTCCATGTATCAGGTTTAGTAGCAAACTTCTACCTAACAAGGCACAAAACGCGGCATAAAAATAAAAAAAAGCGGCACCTTGGATGCCTAGCAACATTTTTAAAATGTCAGCTTTCCTCTGAAAATACACTTAGAATAGTGTACCTGTACAAAAGTACTTTTGTACTTTTTGTACTGAAAGCTTTCAGCCTCCTGCCAAGTCCAGTGTTTTCTCACACTTTCCCCAAAACTAGGATCTATATCCTTTTTCCTTTGTGTTTTCAAGCACAATTTCCTCCATCCTGAGCCTTCTGTGAGTCAAGCTGCTGTTGGGCTGGGATATTACAAGGAGCACCTCTCCCATCCTTGCCAGTCAGGAAGGTGTCTCTCCCAGATGCACTGTGCCTGAGGACTTGTGCCACCCCTATTTTATGTTCTGGGTCATAAAGGTTGCACTAATCCTTTGCTTTCCAAGGCAAATATTTTTATAAACACTCTAGAAAAAGACAAGCATCTTTGGGGATAGAACAATTTACTTGACTTGGGGAAAACAGGAGGAAATAAGAGAGGAGAGGGAGTTTCCCAGTTTCAACAGTGTTTCCAAAAATCCCCAAAACTAAAAAGATTCTTATCTCAGCTGTAACACCCATCACTCTAATTCCACCAGCATGTATGAACAGAAAGGTTCATCAGGTCTTTTGCTTACATTTTCTGGGTAAAATATGATTTCTTAGTAAGGAACTGGAAATTATTAATGGTAACTTTCCACGGGAGAAAAACAGGAGTTTTCCAAGCAACTGTAATACATGTGGCAGAAAGAAAGAAAGAAAGCCAAAAAAAAAAAAACCCAAAAAAACGCCCAAATCTAAAGAATTTGCATAGGTGAAGTGCATGCTTCCAAGAGAGTCAGATAGCATCATCTTGTTAAATAATTACCACACCAGTGTTTAGACAAATGTCTGCTCCTTAAGTGTGTTTAATATTTCTGCTGACAAGGAGATAGATACCTAAGATTTCTAAGTGTGCTATTGACAAAAAGACAGAAGATTAATGTATTTATGGAATTTAAAAAAAAAAAAAAAGCAAACAACTTTTTTGTATTGTTGGCATCTAAAAAAAAAAGGATACAAATGACTTCATTAATGCAACCAGAGTGTTGCAGAGCATAATGCCACAAAACAGTAAAAATCAAAGATTCCAACAGTAACTGTTAGAGAGATGACAACATAAAAAACAATCTCCATATAAATTTGCAATCCAGTCAATCAGGTGCAATCCTGCAAAGATGCTCTTCATTGAGACAGAAGTCTCATGCAGATGGAGTCAGCCACATAAAAGAGGACGTAGGACCAGAGCTAAATTATATGCAATTTCAATATTGTAATAAAATCTACTAACACAGAGTTCTCTGCCCCCACATGAACTTACCAAATTGAAAGAAATTTAGTTCTAGCATGGCATGCATGATTTAGGAATTGTATCACTAAAAAAACATATGACAAGTTAATTTAAGTGGCCACAAACAAGGTAGTGATCAGGTGGTGATGCCAAATTACAGTAAGGAGCTCCTGCTTTTTTAAATAAAAAACACATATACAATTGACCAAGTATTGTGAGAATACATTGGAAATTTAATTTGAAATTTCATTTAGCCTTTCAAAAACAAGGTGAAGAGCAATACCTGAGGTGTGATTTTGAGTGGGTGTCCAGCCTGGAATACGTCTGGTTCAGTTTGCAGAAGTACTGAGAACCCAAAATATTCCACAAGCCTCTACAAGGCACTATGTAATTTCCAAAGGTCCAATGCACCTAGTGCTGCACAGGACAAAAGAAATCCCTGGCTATCTTAAGGCTTTTCTGTTTCATTGCAAGGTTGTAGCCCCTCCAGCAAACAAACTCAGGAACCTCAATATTTTTTTCCTTTGCCTCTTGTTCTCTAAATCTGTGCTGCCAACCCACCAAGACCTGCAAGCTTTGGGCCCAAGGAAGATGGAAGAAATCACCTCAGACAGACAAAATTATTCCCCTGGCAAGGGCAAACATTTGGCCTTCAGAATGAAGAGAATGAAGAAAGTTTGCCAAGATTTTGCTGAGGAGGAGCCACTCTGTTCCCCATCAGCACAGAAGGAAGGTTGGCCCTCTGTGCACTCAGCCTCAAGGAAATCAGCAGCTACACAGCTTCCAGCTGACTGAGCCAGTGGCAGAACCTAGTCTGAACATTCTTGCTTGTAGACCTTGGGTGATTGCTTTGGCCTCCTTAAAAAGAAGGATATTTAAAGTTTTGAACTTGCTTTACTCTTATGTTGCTCATAGGTCTGCCCTGGCTGGTTCTGCACAATCCAAAATAGCAAACAATACACTGGCAGTCATTATCCTTATTTTCCTCCACATCCAACTCCTCTGTTTTCAACAGATTCTGGGAAATCTCTGTTCTCTGCTGTCAACATTGGGAAGTTAGCATTGAGGGTTTGGGTGGAAAAAGAGTTTTGTGAGCACCTCTTTGGTGTTAAGAAATGAAGCTGGTTGCCAGATTTCAGACAAGGAGGAAAAAGAGAGAAGTGCCCTGTGGGAGCCAAAAACGTCAGAACAATGTGAAAAAACATGTCACATCATATTTAGGACTTTTGCAATCCCGTATGAGAATAGGGAGGAAGGCAGGTGGGAGGGGAGATGGGAAGGGGAAGCCATAAAATGGGATTTTATTCTGTGTTTCTCTTACTGACTGACGTAGACCAAAAGAGAGATAACATTTTTCTTTAGCCTCCACTACCCTATTATGTTCTCAGTTCTCACCACTGAAAGTTAGCCAAGTTATATTCTTTCTAAATAGAATCTAATGTGTGTATTTAAAAAAAAAAAAAAGAACAAAGGGCAGTTCCAGACAGAGCCCAACACTGTGGAGGCAGTTCATTAGAAAATAAGCCAAATTCATACCTAACAACCCAACAAACACTGGCACCTCTGCTGATGTTACCAACCCAAATCTTCTACTCAGCTGATAAAAGGTTGTTGAGTAGGCTTCTTCACAATGTTATGAAACAAGAAGAAAAATAGAAGTAGAAAAAAAAAGGAGTGGAAACTCAAATCTACATTTTGCCACTAATGCTTGTCTCCCACAGGAAGCAAAGAAATGAAAACACATCAAAAATATTTTTAGAAAATCATTCTCGTTATTGATGATGTGACCCAAGTTTTGAGCAAGGCCAATTTCCTGCTGTTCCATCTCCATCACTGTCTGTCTTTTGGCCTTAGTTCAGGGTGTCTCCAGGGTCTTTTGAACTGCATCTTATTTTGAGAAAGTTTGTTTTTCCCGGCAGAATCATGAGGGGAATGCTAAGATACAATAGCAAATCCCATCTGCCATGCTCAGATTTCTCAAAGTGCCTGGAGAGCTTAACCTTTCCTTTGCCTGTGTCATCATAAAAATGGAAGAGAGATGCAGAAGGAGAAGAATTTTCATTTCTAACCTACTCATTCCTAGTTTCCTGTGAAAGGAAGAACTTAATTTCTATTTCATGTATCCCATGCTTTTAGCAGGCAGGATCCTTTTAAATTAAATTATCACTAAAGCTGTTACCTTGAAAATTGTTACCTTCTTTGAATTTCCCAACAGAACCACAAGCCAAATATTTCCTTTAAAAGAAAAATCAAAATCAAACTGTGACACAGATTATAAAAAGGAAGGGGGGAAAAAATTTATTTTGGCTAGGAGAGGTTTTTACCTAACTGGAAAAACACTTTGCTACAGAAGGCATTAATTTCAATGTTTGCTTTGAAATCAAGAGAGCAGCTCTTTCTAGAGTTACCAACTGGACTGTGCTTTAGTCTGCTAATTAAAGATAGGTGGGTAATTGGAAATAGGTTACTACAGTAAAAGTTGAGATCGGGCTAAAAAATTAGAGAACACAAAATCTAGGGTTTTGTCACTATTGGCCTCTGTGTAGATATTAGAAATTAGTAAGGAAGCAAAGTTCCAGAGGAGCAAAACCAAGCCTCTTGTCTCTCCTGGGGGAGCAAGTCCATTTCCAGCTGCTTTCAGGATTTCGTGTTGCTCCTGCAGCAGAGTGGGGACAGCTCAGAAACTGCAAAGCCACAACCCAGTGGTTGATGGTGCCATCAACCATCATCCACTCATCTGCCACAAGCAGAGAGCCAGAGATGGCCCCTGATCTGCTGTAGCCCAGCTCTCACTTGGTACTCACCCAAAAGCATTCTCAGTGGGTTTAAGTTTGGAGGCAGGGGGCTCACGTTCTCCGTTCTGCGCCTTTTGTTCGGGAACGCCCTTCTTACGATCCCAGGCACCTTTCATTTCTTCTTTGTCATCTTTTACCTGCTCAGAACACAGCACAAATCACAGAACAAAACACAAGACACACCAAAGGAAAAAAAAAAAAGTCAGAATGAGGCATTCTAAATAACAGCTGAGAAATACAAATTCCTTGGCAAGATTGGGAAGTGTCTTCAAACTGCTTTGTGTTGTAGGGCAGAAGTGGCCTGCAAAGCTCTAAACTGTGATCAACTGGCACTTTGCTGTCCTGACCTGAATTCCACATCAAAGCATCTTGAAAATAATGTTATCAGTCTTCTGTGAAAGTTGTCTGTGGCCGTGGGACTATGCCACCACAGTGCTCCACTCTGCAACTGCACCCCCAACTCTTCCTCCCATTGCAGCACCATTCCCCTCTTGCTTCTTAAGCTTGTGGGTTGCAAACTCTCTGGGACTTGCCAGCACATTTTTGGTACCAGGTTTAGGGCATTGGTGCAATAAAAATAACACATAACCTCCAACAAATGCCAAGCTTGTTTGACAAAGTTTATGCTCTTTTCAGTGTCACAGCAGAGGGATACTTCAATACTGCAAGAATAATGGCCAAAACACAAAATCATTTTGATATCAGAGCAAAACTTTGACAAAAAGGACAGTCCTTCCTGGAGTTGCTCATGGGTAGAATTATCAGACATGAATATTTAAACCTGTGAAGAATGAAATGCTCTGGAAAACACGAGTAAAAATTCCCTTTATCCTTAAGAAGTTATGTCTTATGATTCTTAATAGTAATCAAGAATATTTTGTGCATAAATTTCATTTTCCAGTATTTCTTCAGAGTTATGAGATTGAAATATTTATCAATACCACAAATGGCCTGACCCCAGCCTGCTGAGTCATGGCTAGATGCTGGTAAAAGGAGAAACTGATTTAAGTTATGCTTCCTCAGGTAGAAATATTCTCTGTTAGTTAAGACTACCAGCCAAAACAAACTTTCAACAGCAGCAGATGAAACGTTTACCTCCAAAGTATTTATTTGCTTTCCCCAGCTCTGTGCTGAAGGAAGGTTCTAGCTGGCAAGCAAAAAATACCTTCTGTGTAGAATTCAAATGGAGACCTTTAGAAAATAAACACTTTGGAAGCCTGTTGCAATCCCATTTGCTAACTAGAAAGATAAAGAACTTCTGTAACTGTCCTGTCTGCAACACAGCTGCTCTTAAAGGTGTCTTAGGATGCACCCTGAAATGAAAAAGTAGAACACAGCTTCACAGCCCAAATCAAAAGAAATTTCTGTTCTTCCTCATCAAAGAGGAAGAACACCCATCCATCTCAGCTCCTGGAGAAGCAAAATCTTGACCTACAAAGGATGAGTTCAGAGTTCAAAGCCAAGATCCTCCTAAGGCTGGTACAGAGTGAAGCCCCAGAGTCAGAGCCTGACTTCACCTGAGGGCAGTTTGCTGCTCAGAGAAACTGAGCAATGGGTGCCACCATGGTGGCACACATTAGAAGTGAGCACAGGATGCTTAAACCATTTCAGCAAATTTGCTGCTGCTGTGGGAAGTTGGGCACAACCACAGAGGCATTTGTCTCTGCTCTGAGAGCAGACTTTCCCACCCTCTCCTGCCAACAAGGCCTGGCAGCAGCTCCCTGAGGGACAAGAGGGGAGCTCAGCTTCCATGGCCCTGCATTCTTTGGCCATGATGCTGCAAGAGAGGGCCTCAAGGAATGGTCCTGCTGGGCTGGAACCAGCAGGGCTGTTCATTTATCCTGCTGAATGCCATCAGACAGCATCATCTTCTGGGTTTTCCCAAATCAAATTGGTGATCATGTTCACAGCAGCAATCTCCCAACCCTTCAGCCCCAGTCAGGGTGATGCTGAAACAGGCTGTGTTGATTGGTGCAAGATTTCTTGTGCCAGGATGTCTGTCCTGGGGTTTTGAGAGCATAAGATTTCCTTAGCTGAGATTTTCATCAAGACCTTCCTAAGTCTTATTTAAAAAGCCAACACTTCCAGCTGCCTTATGGATTCAGGTCCACTGGGGAGGGTTGTATCTCTTACATCTTAATTGAAATCACCGAGAAAACTAATATTAAAACAATATCATTTAAAAATTAACAGGTTAGGAAATAGCATTTCAGAAGCCAGTATGATTTATGATAATGTGTCTGTGTTTGAGAAAACCATTAACACAGCTTGGCCTCTTCATTCAAAAAGATGGTAAAACAAGATATTACAGAAACATTTCACATCTTTTGGGCTCAATCCTTCTCCTGCTAATTTTTATACCAAAGCAGAGAAAGAAAAGTTTCTGCTTCTTTGCTAATCAATCTCATTCCAAAGGCAGGCAACAAAATAAGTTCTTTGCCTTGTCTGACTGCTTCCTTAAATTACAGACTAATTCAGCTTCTGCTGAATTCAAAAAGGACTCCACTTGGAGCAGGCAGGTGATATTACCTGAAATGAAATAGCTCACATGTTCTCACATATGATAAATCTCACAAATCTTCATATCAAGCTAGAACATGACCAAAGGCATGGTTAACAAATTTCCAGCATTATGTATTTATATTTGTATCTCTTTCCGTACTGCCTGTTTTCTGTTTGATTTTTATGCTATTATTTGAGAGCTGAGATTTCTGAATCTTGAGTTTGAACACCTCCAGACTGAAGCAAACCAATTACTGAGGCTGGGGCCCATCTGGCAGATCTAATTCCTTACTTGGGCTCAGTTATTTGGGGAGTTAAAAACCGTGGGCATCTGGGTCTGGGGTCCCCTGTAGAGTCAACTGCCACCCCCAAACACCATGAGAAAAGCAATGCTGCATCATGTCTAGCCAAACTGGAAGCAGGAAATACCAGGAGTCTCACATCATGAGAAAACTTGGTCATATGAACTTCTCAGGTCACTTTTAAGAACGAAAAACTGTGCAGGAGTTCAGAAAAAGAGACAATTTTTTTTTCTTGCCAAATTAATCAAAACCTGAACTCTGAGGTCCAAAGCAAAAGCAAAACCTGATTATATAGATACATTCTGTTCCCCCAGGGTCTTGTTCATGGAACGCTGGCATCCTCTGAGCTGCATGCACACTCAGAAGGAGAGACCTCACTGAATTTGTATGTCCTGGAAAGGGGGGGAAGAAGCTGAGATGGGAACCTGATCTTGCCTGATCATCAATTTTTGTTCACAAGTAAAGAAGCAACAACTGAGGTTTTCAAGACATTTTGAATGCTCAGGATGAGTATTCAGCATTGCACTAGAAGTGGGATTCTATTAAGTTGTCTCAGCTTCAGCATCCAAAGATGGAAACACTAAAATCACAAGTAACTTTTATAAGTCTTGCCAATTTCCTGGAATAATCTAGCCCAGTGGGTAGGGTTTAAAAGCATGATGAGAGCTCCAGGGAGAGCTGGCCGAGCTCTACATAACAAGCAGCACAACTGTGTCTCAAGTTCCCACAAATCAAAGTTTGTGGCCAGCTACAGACTCCTCTTTACATTGACTTGCAGTATTCAAAGACTGCATGCAAAAGTGAATAGTGGAAATTGGTTATTCCTTCTTCATATAATCCATCCCTCTTTTTTTTTTTTTTTTTTTTGTGCAGCTGTTTCCTCACTGCTCTCTGAGGGTGAGCTAAGCATGTTCCAAGCTCATCTGCTAACTAAGGACCCTGGAATGGACCCTCCACAACCCTCAATGGTCCCAGTCCACCAGGCAGGCAGAATTCTGTGCTGTGGCTCCCTTTAAACCACACAGACCTGCCTGAACCCAAGTGAGTCCAAATTTCCAAGGCTCTGACCATCTCTGAGCAGTCTCCCCTAATGAGAATCAGGGTCTGTTTTGTGAGCTGCAGCATTGAACCAAAACCCCTGCACAGCACCGAGTGTGGCACCCTGTGTCCAGCTGCACCCTGAAGAGTAAATGGTCCCCAAATCTTCTTTACTTACCATACAGTAAAACACCATGGCACCAGCTCCTGTGTTTACAGTGGAAATGCAATGCAGTAATTTTGGTGGATTTTCTCTTTAAAACAAAAGGAGAATCTTGGGTATGCACAGTTTACATCATGGGGTGTTGCAGCTTGCAGGGGAATTATTAGTTAAGGCAGTCTGCTGGCCAAAGGGCCTAGATTATTATTATCATTATGATGATTATTATTAATTATCATGATAAGGATGATGATCATGATGATGATTATTATTATTAGAGTAGGTTTTGTTCATAGGGAAAAAGTTCACAGTAAAGTGAGAGGAAACCAGAGAAGGATGATTAGTTGATACTGTCCTCAAAAATTCATCCCCAGAGGGAAAACCATTACTTGTGTTGTTGACTGAACTGAGTTTCCTGAAATATTTGTTTTAAGACAAACAGGAATTGGTCCTAAAGCCCCAAAAGAACAAACTACTTAAGAATTTGCTTAATTTTAAGCACTTAAGGAGCTTCATCCCTATTTATTTCAGCAGGGTTACCCATATTCTTGAAGTGGAGCACAAGCTTAAGTACTTTGCTGAAGAATCAACATTCACTTATAGGTGCCTTATTTGTTTTCATACCTCCAGTTTCCCTATCACATCTAAATCAGTGGTTTATGAGTTACCTGATCTTGTATGGAGGTAGCTTGGAGCTTCTCTTCTGGCAGCTTTTCCTTTTTAGCTTCCTCCTTTTCTTCCTCCTTTGGTTTTTTGGGTTTTCAATAATTTATTTTTTAAGACAAAAACATCGCACCTGCTTGCATTTTTTGTTTCTCCACGCTGTGTTCACGCACCAATCCAGTGTGCAGCCACAACTCCACCTCTGTGTGAAGCTGTGCCCCTTCCACCCTGCCCAAATCCTCCCAAATCCCCCCCTTTTGGCCTTTCTCCCTGGCATGGCATCATGCTCACGTGTCCCAGTACAGAGCCCTTTCTTGTGATTGCATTTAGCACACAGCATTCCTCACACACTTCAACAGGTGCTCATAATATTTGCTGCCAAGATGTGCCTGCCTCCACCTCATGTGTTACTGCATTAGGCCAGTTTTTATAGCAGCTGAGGGGGAAAAAGGCAGCAAAAGCACATGCAGAGGTCTGAACATGCAAGGTTTTCTTTGAACGATGGAGTGGGGTCAGGCCTGTTGTGCACTGAATTATTGGTAAGCAGGAGGGATTTCTTTTTGGAAATTGCACAAGTGTTAGTAACTTCAGTACAGGACTAGATCTGTGAGGAAATTCCAATTCAATCTGTTGTTGCATTACATTTCACACAAACCACAGGTGTCTTATTTTGGTGCAAAATGTTTACTGTACCTGTTTTTTTATGACAGCTGCTTGAGGTTTTTCGTCTTCTACTTTCTTCTCTTTTACCTGTATATCTTCTATTTTCTGTTCTTCCATCTTTTGTTTTTCCTTTAATTTCTCTGCTTCTAGCTTAGCCTTTTCCTCAGCTGCCCTCTTTTCCTCTTCTGCCTTCGCCCTCTCCTCAGCTGCCCTCTTTTCCTCCTCTGCTTTCTGTTTTTCCTCAGCTGCCCTCCTCTCCTCTTCTGCTTTAGCCCTCTCTCTTTCCTCAGCTGCCCTCCTCTCCTCTTCTGCCTTAGCCCTCTCCTCAGCTGCCCTCTTTTCTTCCTCTGCTTTTAACCTCTCCCTTTCTTCTGCTTCCTTCCTTTCTTCCTCAGCCTTTTCCTCATCCCTAAGCTTCTCTTTATCTACAGCATCAGTTACACTTTGTGTCCCTTCTGGCACAGCATTTGCATCATTCTCTGCTTTGTGTTCCTCTGCATTTACAGTTACTGCCTCTTCTTTATCAGTGGATTTTTCTGCTGTCACATCTACCTGATTTTCCTCTATGGGGAGCTCCTTTGGTTTCTCCTCCTGGGCCTCCTCCTTGTCTTTTTCTTCTTTTTTCCCCTCTTCTTCCCCATCTTGCCTCCAGTTGTTCCTTTGGTAGGATTTGGTAACTGTTTCTGTCTCCTCAGTCTCATAGCGTCCTCGGCGCGTCTCAGCCTTTTCCTCTTTGCCCGTGGTCTCATTTTCTTCCACATTGTTTACTTCTCTCCTGCTGGGCACTGACAAGCTCCCATCTGTGATCGTGGGGTCAAGTTCCTTTTGGCGTTCCAGGGCTTCCTGCAGACGTTTCTGGCGTCTCTCCTCCCGCCTTGCCAGCCTCTCCAACAGTGCAGCTTCATCATCTGTGGAGCGCTTGCTTTCCTCTCCTGCCACACTGTGTAAAAGAGACAGGTTTGCATTTTAAAAAAATTCTTTCTAACAACATGTGCACTTCACTCTTCCTAGGAAAAAAGCTTGTATCATCATTCCACGGCTGGAAAACACAACAGGTTACAGACTTGAAAATTTAGCTGCTGTTTTGCTGTCTATATCCACTCTTCATAAATAAATTGCTTCTTGTGCTCAGTACCTCTTAGCACTTGCCATCACAATTTTGCTTTTTTCTATCAGTTGTGTTATGGCCACTGGAAATCTGGGTATAGTATTTATATTATTATTCATGTGAAACTAAACAAATGATGGACAGATAGGAAGGCAGCTCTGGACAGACAGAGAGGCCATTCAGCTTGTGACAAGTGGGTGGTGATAGGAGTGATATGGTGTAATGCTTTAGGGGCTGAAGGGGCACTGCTGGACTGATGCTTGGACTTGATGATCCTAAAGGTCTCTTCCAACTTGGATGTTGTATGATTCCAAGTGTCACCGCCTTCCATGAGCTTTTCTCTTCTTTATACCTGCCTGACACTGGCAATGCCAGGTGAGTGCTTGCTCTAGAGCTCATACCCAGAACTTTGCAGGTGTGTTGCAGCCACAGTTTGAGAACTGGGTGTCCCCCAGTGCTTTGCCCCACAGTGCCATGACCCCTGTGAGCAGAACAAGAGATGTGGTGTTTTGTGAGGCCAGATGCACCCACGCCTGAGAGAATCTGAGAGCCCCCATGAGCCACAGCTGAATTACCCCACAGACAGCCTTGAGGACACCTGGATATGTGCCATGAGCCAGATGTGTGATGCTCCCATCCTACCATGTAGACACAGCCAGGCTGATCCTCACTGTGTGAGGTCCTTCAGTTTAAGGATGGCCAAACCCAGCACTTCAAATTCAAGCACCAAACAAACCTCTTCCAGACAGACACTTCTCTACTCTGAACAAAAACGACCCTTGGCTTGTCAGTAAACAACATCAGACATTTACCTGTTCTGGGCATTGACCTCGGATTTCTCTGTTCCTTCTCCTGAGAGATCTCCTTCCTCCTTCTGCCGCAGCCTCTCCTGCCGAGCCCGCCGGCGCCGTTCCCTGGCGGCTTCTTCGTCATCATCATCGTTCCTCTGGTAGGACAGCCTGCAACAGGGAGAGGGAAACATTGGTGCTATGGCATACTGGACACTGAAAAAAATCACAAAAAGCAGTTTTCTAGAGCACAGTAAGCATGGCTACAGCGGCTGCTCCACATGCTGTCGTGAAAATGAACCGTGAAATTGAAATGCGTCATTTCCAACCCTGGTTTTCTTTTGGTTCTCAGAAGCAGAAGAGAACTTGAGAAAATAGTCCCTGTGAAGGCAGCAACAACACCACACTATCATCTGGCTTATAGAAAACACCAAATCCATAAAAGCCCAGCTCTGTAGCTGAACAAACATCCTCCTAGCTGCACCACGATCCTGTCGGAGCAATCACAGCAGCATTTGAGCAGACTTGATCAAGCCCACGTAACTGAAATTGGACTCAGCAAAGCAGCTTTTCATTAGTCTCCTCTAAATATCACATGCTGAAAATGGTGACAGTATTCCACATTTTAAAGACTAGAAAGCAGGGAGACACAAGTATGACAACAGCTCTCAGTGGTCGGTTCTGAGTGCCAAACATCTGACACCCACAAAATTTTTGTGGGCCCAGAGCCGTGCCAGGCCAAATCACACAAGATTCTCTGCTGTGATGAAAGCCTACAGCTGAGAACCCATTGTATTCATCTACCCCAACAGATGATTACATTCAGTTTCATCCTGCTTGAAAAGGAAAGCAAGGCCTTAAAATCCTAATAATCCCGTGTCCCATTCAAATCTTTGCTGAGGTTATTGCTGTGTGAGATAAAGGGAGAGGCCTGCATTCCTCTTATCTTTTTGAGCAGGGAAAGTGAATTAGGAAGCCAGCATGTGCCAGACCCAGTCAGGACATTCATTTACTTTGCTTCTGGCAGTGGTCTGACACACCATGGTTAAGAAGTCTCCCTTCTTTATATAGTCACATATTTGCGTTAACAGTGCAGCCATGAACATGGGAAAAAACAGAGTTCTGCACCGACTAAAACCAAGTACAAATAATGTTCATATTGCAAATATTTAAATATTAAAAGCAACTAAATTTTGATTTAGCCATCAGTCAGACTCTTTGGGGCCAAGCCTCTCCCATCACCATGTTGTGATACTATTTCTCTCCTTTGCTGAAAGAAGGATGAAAGCATAGGTTCAGCAGGGGTTCAGTTACCCCAATTTCACTTTAAGAATTTAAGGTGTAAAACATGGCTGAGCCACTTGCCAGACCTAGAACAGTATTTTCTTCCTCAGTGCACCAAAGAATTTAATTTGCTACTTTCATGCTCTGCTTCAAGAGGTTTTTCTTTATAGAAAAAAACTCTTCTAAAGAGAGTGCAAACCATGAGCAACATGGCCAAGAGGAATCACAGTGGAGGATGAGGAAGAAAGGAAGGACCTGAATTAAAAGCACTAAAGGTGTGATGAAAGGAAGGCAAGGAAAAACACTTCCTGCCATTTGCAAGCAACTTCAAGGGGTATCAAGAATTCATTTAGGTCTAGAAAAGAAAGAATATGAATACAATAATAAATCAATAGGGTCTTTAATTTCCATAAGAAAGAGACTCCGGAATAAAACCGCACTAGCAAACTGACCATGGACACCCCCCCTTTTTAGTAAGATGTTGGCTGCAAGAAGCCTATGATCTTTTCAACTCTGAAGTCCAGCTGTAAGGGCACAGGAGAGGACACACTGCTCCTAGCCTGTGGCAGCTGGACCATGGCCACAACTGAGTCAATACTCAGTGTCTATAGCTCAGGACTTGTCTTTGCACTGAGACCACACAAAGATGAAGAAGTTCATTCCACTCTCTGTACCCACACAGAACACCCCTAACACAGCAAGGAGAACAACTGCTTTTAAAAGTCTCTTTAAAATGCCTTTTTTAAACCACCAGTTGCTCAGCAAACCAAAAAAGGAAATAAAAAGAATACCCTAAGCAAAAATTCCCACAAAATCTTATCCATTAAACAGCTATGTATTTCCTGTCCTTGGACACTTATCACATAGATCATCTGTTAAGAAAGCTCAAAATGTTTCTTATTATGATTCTAAACACATCCATTGCCTTACTGCATATCACAGCACTTTCTGACAGCAAGCAATACAACAGGTATTCCATTCATGAGAATCACCTTAACTATTCATTTCTGTTCACCAGCACTCATGCAATCTGCCCGGTAATCAGGGAACAGTCATAAGACACAACGAGTTGCAGTTTTTTAAGGAGATTTCTTTCTTGTTTTCCTTACAACTGTGTTACACTGCTTTCAGTGTAAGGGGTGACCCTCATTCTCCCACTGCTACAGATCTCTGTAGCAACCCACCATGAGCAAAATCAATCTGGGAGCTCTTCAGAGCTTATCTTCCAATTGCTTCCATCTTTTGACATCCTTCAGACTAAGAGTAAATAAATAATAAAAAAAAGGTCTCCAAGATTTCAACTCTTTTTATCAGACAGATGGAAATCTGATGATCCACGCTGGCCCGTGTTGTTTCTCCACCCTTGGAGAACAGCCTTGCTGACCAACACACCCTAAATTTTAGAAACTAAATTAAACCGAGCTTATATCCATTTGTCACCTTCCACATGGCTTTGCAGGAAAACATCTCTCCACAACCAGCTGTTCCAGCTGTCTCAGGCAGTGAGACCACAACACAGCACAATCTCCAAGAGGTGTGCCAAGCCTGCTGATACAACTCTCCTGTGGAATAATCAGATCAGAAAATATTCTGATTTGGAAGGGACCCACAAGGATCATCAAGTGCAACTCTCAAGGACTGAAATCCCAGAGCTGAAGAACTCAACAACAAATCTCATTAGTATCTGAGTAAGTCTGAAAATGTTGCCCTCAGATTGAATGGGGGGGGGACTTTGTGTGAAAAAGAAATCTGCTGGATTGGGAATACAGGAGATGTGGCCATCTGCTTCAGACTTTTTTCAGAGAAATACAGCACTCTGTATTTTACACCAAACACTGAATTTATGTAAAGTTATAACCCAGCAAGAAACCTGGTAATAGCTGGGATGATCATGGGGCTGAAACCATTTCATACAAGCCAGCTTTAACTGGTTTCCACTTGAAACCTCAAATCAGCCCAAGCATTATCTAAGGCACTTTGGGTTTGGAGCTCCTTGCCCAGTACTAGTACATTATTATTACTGTCTGAATTATGACAGCACTGAAATTTCCTGATCAAGCTCATGGGCTTCTACACTAGGCAATTTATGAAGATAGGGCAAAATCTGGTCCCCAATCTAAACAGTGTGTATTCTGATTAAAGAGAAACCTTATAATTTGTAGCACAATCTGCCCTCAGTGAGTCATAAATAAACCTGATGAATCTAAATTCTTTTTTCATTTTTCACAGGAATAGGAAAAAAAACCTGCCTACTTTTAGCTGGATCCCACTACTCCATTCTAGAGGAGGCAAGGAGAAAGAATTGCTGTGGATCTGAACTCTGACTCCATTTCAAGAGTCAAATACATGAAAAAATTCCAAACAGAACAAAAGCCTTTAAGTTTTTTAAGCAGGCAGCTCATATCTGCCTCTTCTTCCTTCCATGGTTCACCCAAATGTCAGTCTGGTTTTTATGCCTGCAGAAACACCTTGCATTCTTAGCAGTGCCCTGACAACATGGACTCAATTAGACACAATTGCACCTATTCAGCAAGCTCTTTCCCACACTACTTTGTTATCCTGAAGCCTTTACATGTATTACAGATTGATTTTTGCCTGTGGCCCACCCCAAGAAATGAGATCATCCTTCCTGTACCAAAATGCTGCACCTCCAACTTGCAGCCTAACCTACTTCTAAGACCTCTGCCCTTTATTATGTAAGAGCACAGCAGCTGAAGTGATATCTGCTGATTTGTGACTCCAAATTTATGTCAGATGGAGGATGTCAGTAAAATGTCCTCAATGACAGATTTCGCTGCCAGACTCAGCCTATAAAAGTTGAATTTGTTGGCCTTCTGTGCTCTTAGAAAGTCTTTCTATTTACCCAGGCTCTTCCTGAAAGGATGGGTGGGGTGAGGATGGGCTCTGTTAAAATACCCACTGGGGAGTGCTCTTTGTGTCACTGTTGATATTCAGTCCCATTTTATTTATGATGACATATGCTTTTAATCTTTTTATTGTTTGCTTCATTTGTGTTATGATAGGCACACTTCAAAACCTGAATATAAACAACTGATCAATCTTCACCTCAAAATAAGAAAAACCATAACAAGGGCACATGCTTCCACAGGGGGCTGTGCCTCTCTCAAGCTTTGCGTGTCAATCTCAGCTGTATTTCATTCAAGTCATAGCTAAAAATGTGCTGAATGGTGGGGGGCAGTTGTGGGGAAAACTGTTTCTTCTAATCATTCCTCCATCATTCAGTGAGGGCTGCCAGCATTCTGCTCAGACCTGCTCAAGAAGATTCATTTTTATGAGGGAATGAGCAGAATTTCAGTCCAAAATGTTCCTGCTTCAAAAAGATGTAGTGAGTGAAAACAGGGGGTTATGGTGGAGACATGCAGACATGCCACCACAGTTCTCAGTCCAATGTTGTGCATGAATGCTGCTATTAACACCCATATTTTTCACATATTTCTCAATTTGACATGCACCATTTTTTTTTTTCACATTGAATGTAGGAGAGACAAGTGGATGAAATTAACCCATGGCTGGAAATGAAACCCAGACAAATTAAAACTGGAAATTAAGCACATGTTTTGAACAGTGAGGATAATTACACGCACAAGAAATGATGGAACATCCATCTCTTGCATCTCTGCATTAAGAGGGATGCCTTTTTGGAAGTTATACTACAAAATAATACTGATTTTTGGGTTCATTGTAAATAGCTTGGTGAAATTCCACTAACATTTATGTATAGGAAGTTAGACTAGATTATATGGTGGCACCTGCTGGACTTAAACACTACAGCCCTCTATTTACAAACAGTACACATTTTCATTTTGCCCACAATTTACCTCTGTCTCAGAAACACTTTTACTCTGTTTATCCACCCATTCTCTACA